TTACCTGAAGCATCTCGTCATTTGCCAAACGTACCTTTCCAAAATCTCCTTCTTTCAAATTCACCATCGTTTCCCCGTTGTCCATGGCGTGAAACGAAGCCCCTGAATCCATGACCCAAGAGTCTACAGAACTTTCCATACTGAGTATCAATGCATCATCCTCAGACACACTCTCAGCACCGGTAATGTTCAATTCTTTCTTTGGACATTGACTCTTAACATGTCCCACCTCCTGGCAGTTCCAGCACTTCACATTCTTCTTAGTTCTAGATGAACTTCTTCCCCGACTCCCACTGCTTCCACTATTCCTGCTATTCCCTCTACCTCTTCCGACATTTAATAAATCAGAAGAGGAAGATCCACCTTGATTCTTGCGTCTGATATCCTCGCCTAGAACCAAATCTCTAACCCCTTCAAAAGTCATACCACTGGTCCCCACGAAACTTGTAACAGCAGTAACTGTTCCGCACCAGCTATCAGGTAGAGAAGCTAGTAGCAGCGAAGCTTGAGTCTCATTATCAAATTTAATTCCCACAGATGATAATCTGGACATAATTGAATTTAGATTGTTAATGTGAACCGTAACTAAGCCTTCCTCATTCATCCTTGTAGTGAACAGCTCCTTCATCAAGAACACCTTGTTAGCCGCCGATGGTTTCTCATACATATTTGACAGAGCCTCCATCATACCACGTGCCATGGTTTCATTCATGATGTTGAAAGCAACGCTCTTCGTCAACGGCAATGTAATAACCGCCTTGGCTTTCTTGTCCTTTGAGTTCCACGCATCTTCAGCAGCTTTTTCCATTTTCTCCGGTTTGTCTCCGAGTACCATGTCCAAGTCTTTCTGACATAGCAATGCTTCTAATTGCATTTTCCACCAGCTAAAATCAGAACCATTGAACCTTTCGATTATAATCTTGTCTTCAGCCATTACGACAAACAAGATACAAATCAGGTACACTCGTGCGTGATAAAAAAAACGATCGTACCCTCCAAAACCTCGTTAACCAGGCTCTGATACCAATTGTTAGGAATTGAGACAGGGTACATGCAGCGGAAACACTATCACACACACAAACACACGAAGGAAATAAAGCAAGAAGGAACACAAGGATTTTACGTGGTTCGGATTCGGTGTAAATCCTACGTCCACGGGCGCAACTAGATTTTATATTAATTCACTATAAGATTACAAATGGTAATATCACTCGGCACTTTTGTTGTTCTGCGCTACGCTGCTGCACACTTTCTTCTTGCAATACATACATATATATATATATATATATATATATATATATATATATATATATATATATATATATATATATATATATATATATATATATATATGTTTGTGAGCCGCAATTTGCACATGAAATTGAGCCGCCATATTTGAATTGAAATATATGCCGTCCAAAACTATTCCACCTAAAATGTGGGTCCATTCAATATTAAATAATTGAACCACCGTCTATTTTTCCATTAAACAATACAATTAAATTGTTTAATTTGCTAAGTTACATTTATGGCCCTTGAACTTTTAGGAACTTGTCAATTTGTTCATGACTCCATAAATCTTAACAACTTTCCCTACAACCCAAGACCTTTGGCCCAACATCAGCAACAATTTTTTAGTCCAACCCACTCTCAGCAACCTTCTTTCCAACACCTAATAACGACCGACTGACCTCTCTCCCCCATATGTTTAACGTAATAACATTTAATGATCCGGGCACCGGGGGATGGTTTATGGATATCGGAGCTACCTCTCATCTCCATGCAGATTCACATATACTAAAATCTATATCTGACAATAATGTTTTTCCTTCATCTGTTTTAGTTGGGGACGGATCTTCAATACTTGTAATTAAAATTGGTGACACCTCTTTTCCCATATCGTACTCTCTCATTGAAAAATGTTTTAGTCACTCCCCAAATCATTAAAAATCTTATATATGTTCATTGTTTTACTCGTGACAATAAATGCACTATTGAATTTGACCAATTTGGTTTTTCCGTGAAGGATCTTCGGACCCGTCAAACTCTAATAATAGAATAATTTGATTTAAGACATTTTTTGTCCAATTTTAAAATGATTTTAGTCTTTAAAGTACAAGCAATAATATTTGAAGAGTAGAGGACCGGTCTAGGATTATGACTGACTGTGAATGGGACATCAAAGGAAAACGATTGGTTCGAATCAATTTAACCGTTTTTTAGATCAGTTTCAGTACGATCAACGACCGGTTTTAGTTTTAGATTGTTTATTCCATCTCTAATTAACATGATGCTAAGAATATATTGACCAACTCCAACCTCCTAAGTATTCTAAAGTCTTGTGTTTATAAGACGTTTTGAGAGAGTTTTCCCTGGTTGGAAGATGGAAAAATGAGATGGAAGTCCATCTTTTATGCACAGTCCGTGCATTTGTACATTCGTAGATGGACTTTGTAACACTTGGTTTAAGTTGGAAAGGATTTATGCATGGACTCGGTGAGTTGGGAGGTCAACTCGTCGAGTAGGGTCGTGAGATCATGAAACGCGGAACGGGACCGACTCGGCGAGTCGACGTCCGACTCGACGAGTCCGAGTTGTTTAAAGAAAACCCTAAATTTTGGGTTTGCCCCCTATATAAACGTCATTATACGCCCCAGTAGCCTGGATTTGATACCGCAAACACGTTTTATAACTCGTGTCGTGTTCGTGTTTAACAAATTTGTGTCGTGTAAATTCGTGTCTGGCACGAATACACGACACGCAGACACGGATTGCCAGGTCTAGTTGTCGGTATAGCTTAAATGAAAAAAAAAGTTCACTACTTTTCCCGACAACATGTCGTCTCAGTAGGTCAATGTGTCCTGACGACATGTCGTCGGTATAAATTGCCTCTATACCGACGATAAGTCGTCTGTAAAAGTAAATAAAGCTTTTTTTCCTCGAATATCACTTCCAATGAACCTTTGTTGGTAACTTGTCGTCGGTATAGGGGGACTCTATCCTGACGACTTTTTCCCCTTCCATCGACGAGGTTGTACCGATGACCCTTTATCGACGACTTGTTGTCGGTATAGGCTTTCCCGAGAACATGTCGTCGGCATAAGGGGAGTAAATGTCGTCGACATAGGGTTGGATTCTTGTAGTGTATGTTTATACATATGTGTGTATGTCAGTACGTGTATGTATGTATTTATATGTTACTGTATACATAAACACATACATATAAATATATAATGATAAAACCAAGATTTGACTAATGGTTCTGATAGTGCACACGTAGGTACGTATGTGTATAATACAAGGTTCTAAATAACGTAAAACGTAACTTGGCGGCAATGTCAAGCCTCAAACTTTTTCAAGCATTGGCGAGCCATGTCGTTTGTAAGGCGTGACTTAAGCCGAAAAATTTGTATATAATTAATATTTTTATATGTACTTTCAACTATTATTCTATTTTATACACATATATGAGTTAAGATGACGTTTTGGTAAAGCTCGGCGGCATTAAAAGCCTTGAAGCCATAACGCGCCATGGCGGAACCATGTCGTGCTTTTTAGAACCTTGATATAATATGTATTATTTGGTTAAATAAAGATATTACATTACATGCATAATAAAGTTACACAAAAAGAACAACCGGAGAAGTATAGGGAGGTTGAAACTTGAAACTCATCATTTGGGGGGTGATGTTGACTTGTGGGTCCTTACGAAACAGTGACACATATACAAAAAGAAGAGTTGTATATTTGGGAATTGGGAATAAAAAAGTCTTGCAAAATTTTATTATTATTATTATTTTTTTTTCTATTTTAACAGGTTAGCAATCTTTCGATTTTAGACAATTTTTTTTGGAAAAACACTTATCATTTTTATCTGAAAAAACCTTCACATCTAACAAACTTTTTATTTTGAACTATTTTTTTTTTCATTTTGACTCATATTTCCTATGTTTTTTGCTGCTGTTATTGCGTTTTTAACAATTTTCAAAATTACAATGTGAATGTAATATTTGACTTATTTTTCAGACAACGAGAAAAAATGTCATGTCAAATTCTTGTTGGTAAATACATATCAAAATCTATTTGCAGGATGTTCAAAGATTATAGTATGTGAAAACAATTGTCTAGTCTAGTTTGATAATGTTTCTAACGGAGAATACATGAAAAACTATATCAGTTTCGACATATAAATTGACATTTGAAACTCTCTATGTTTGATTCTTAAATTACCAAACCAATTTAAACCGGTGATTTTCATCTACTATAATCTCCGAGCATCCTACAAATTAATTTGATATGCATTTTGACATGATCATGGATCAAGTCACTTCTAGGATTTAAAATGTTTATAATGCAGAGAACATGAATGCTGGAAATCCAAAAATCGTCAAAGTAAGGGTTTTTATCTAAAAAAAAGTTGAGGGTTTTCGTAAAAAAAGGGTTGAGGGGTTTTTTCGGAAAAAATTTCTAAACCCGAAAGATTACCGTTAAAACCTGCTAAAATAGCCAAATAAAAAAAAATGGAATTTGCGAGGATTCTTTGGAAAAAAAAGATTTAGTCCAGAAAAAATTTAATATATAAGAATTTTTATGATATTAACCCGTTAAACAATTTATACTTTAGGGTTAATGAAAATTGTGACGTCTTGATACGTTCCTTATGGGCGGGTGTACTGGTACTCATTGTCCCGCATCTTACTTCTTAGCCTAACTAGTAAGATGTATTTTATAAAGCCGTGAGGGTTAACCCAAAGTGGACAATATTTGACCCGATTGGCTAAGGTTCAGATCAATGGTATCAGATTGGCTAAGGTTTTTATCACAATTTTAAGCATGAGGGACCAAATTCAAAAAAAAAAAAAAGATCCAATATTTGATCATCAGTGCAAGTCCAAACTTTTTTGGACTAAACTTGCAGTTTTTTGCCTACTAAAGGACCATTTTTTGCAATTTTCTCTACTTTAAAAGGAAAAGTTGTAATTATTTGACACCCTGTTTCATGTTAACAACGAACAAAGCCACTCAAGGTCTGTGGAGAGTACTACAGATGTAGCTAAATTAATGCGTGCGTAAATGCTACTGCCCCAAATTCTAAATTATCGACTTGATCCAAGCAAATTTCATTCAAAGCTTATCCAATTTCTGTTAAAACCTTTGATACTTGGCCGTCAATCCGCCCCTCTTTAACAACTACGTCTTCCATGGCGACAGATCTCTCAGTTGTTCTTGTTTTGGTGCTCTCCTGTTGTTTCTCGAGATGTTTTACCGAAAGGTAAGAAACCAATTTCACTTTTTCTCGTATTTGTTAATACTTCAAAAAATTGTAAATTCTTACAGTTTTAGCTATTTTGGGGTTTAATGTTTAATATTTTTTGTCCAATTTATGTATATAATTGGCTAATTGCTTACTGCTTTGACGTAATATGTGGATATCTTGATTGCTTATCGAACTCATATTCCAGAAGTTGTTGAAGACCGAGGATAAAATTGAGGAAATTTGTTACTTTACCCTACACGAGTTTCTTCCTTTAGGGCCCTAATTGTGAAAAGGGCATACTATATATAACCTGTACCATTTCTCTATAATTTCATCATTGGGGATTCCACCCTACCATATATGTATGCATCCATCCCCTTGTAATATTCTCCAATTATTGATAATCATGTTGTATATCTACAATCTACAATGGATGATAAAGAAAAGAGTGAGTATGAAAATATGGTGTAACTGTTTTGATATTATGAAGAGAATCATGATGGGTTTAATTTGGTAAGTGGTTTGTGATGGCTAATATGGTCAATTTCATTTTGTTGTCTTATAGTCGAAAGGATCTTAGAAGCAAAGAAAATGTTATACATTTAGGGCGTGCAGTTCCTCATCCTAACACAATTGACCCCTCACAAGTTATTGAACTCTCTTGGCGACCAAGGTCAGGTACTTTGATGATCTATCTTTAAAGGATATGATGCTTATTTATAAATTATAATAATTTTTGTTTTGAGTTTTGAGTGAAGTGATGATAATTCTAAGATTATGCTTTTGACATGGTCTTTCTTTGGATCCAATAGGGTATTCTTGTACAAAGGCTTCCTATCTTATGAGGAGTGTGACCACCTTATATCATTGGTAAAATATTGATAGTTATCTTTATTTGTGATATATTGACTAAAATAAGTTACTTTCACTTTGGCAAAATAAATGTTTGGATGTTTATTTTGAAAGTGATTATTGCAAATTGAAGAATCACAACAATAATCATAATCAAATAATTAGTTGATTAAAGCTAGAGATAGGTTGGTAGTTGGTGGTAGTTTAACATGTATTTGTTTGGTTATATATATAGGGAAATGACAAGAAAGAGAAATCTAGTGGCAACAATTCAAGCAAGGTTGTGGGACAGACTACAAATTTAGATGTCTCTTTAGAAATTGAAGTAAGTTCATCTCTGTTAAATTTTCATTTTAGGGCTTTTATTAATGTTCAGAATATGTAAGTTTTTGTATAGAGAATTAGGTTTTTTCGCCATTGAATGAGTCATTGTTTGCAATCTTTTTCTTTAAAAACCACCTTGAATTATTGTTTACAACCTCCTCAATTGCTTTATTGAAAGAAAGATTGTTTCATTATTTTTATAATTAGTTTTTGGAATCATACTTAATATTACAGAATCCATCTCCATTTTCATATCATTTTAGGATGAAATAACTGAAAGGATCGAGGAACGGGTTTCAGCATGGACTTTTCTTCCAAAAGGTTTTCTCCCTCCACCTCACCTCACCATCCTTCTTTTTCTTTTTCAAGTTATAATAAATTATAATAAACATATGGAATCATGATCTGGTCTGATTTTCACAGGAAATGGAAAGCCGATTCATGTTGTTCATATTGGTGATGAAGAGAGTAGTAGTAAAGGTAAGCAGAAGTACACAAACACAAACACTGGAGAAATTTTACAGGCAACAGTCGTCATGTATCTTTCAAACGTGTCACAGGGTGGTCACATCGTTTTTCCTCAAGCAGAGGTTAGATAGATAAAATTTGAGTAAATTACAGATTTGGTCCCTGTGCTTTACTCAATATCACAAAGTTTGTCCAGTTATTGAAATCTTCCTTGAGAGACTTTGAGATTGAGTAAAGCACAGGGACCAAAGTGTCTGTGTTTGGGAAAAGTGATTTTTTGATAAATTAGTTAAATATCTTTTATGAGAATTCTGATTGTTATTAGTGGAAAGTGAAGAGCAAGATATGGTGGGGGGATTGTATGAAGAGGAGTGAAATAAGTAAACCTGTGAAAGGCAATGCAATTTTGTTGTTCAATCTCCATCCGAATACTAGTTTAGACCCGAGTAGCTCACACGTGGCGAGGTGCCCAATAGTCGAGGGGGATATGTGGTGGGCCACCAAGAGTTTTGTGGTGAAAGCAAATTCAAATTCAAATTCCAAGGGAAAGGATAAGGATAAGGATGAGGATGATTTATCATGCACAGATGAGGATGAGAGCTGCCCTCAGTGGGCTGCGTTTGGGGAATGTGAGAGGAACCCGATATACATGGTGGGCACTCCCGATTATTATGGTACTTGTAGGAAGAGTTGTAATGTATGCTCATAATTCATAATTATATATACATATAAATTTTAAACCCCCTTTATGAACAGTGAAAGTAGCCCATTTTTCATTTTAGCCCCTAGACTTTTGTGTTTTGTTAACTTTAATCCTTGGTCAAATTATTTTTACATCCCGGTTAATATCTGGTCAATGGTTTTTATTTTACTCCGTGGTCCGGATTAGTGTCTTGTACACGTGTTATGTCCCCTCTTCCACCTCCCCTGATTGGACTTCCAATCAGATGCGTTTCTCACTCCTTTTTTTTTCCTATCCCTTATACCGACTCTTCCAGTTTTCATTCTTTCTTGCTCATGATACCCCCAACGACTTTGGAAATGTTTGATGCTTCTTGGGGCTTCTTTGGCGACCGTGAAGTCACCGGATGAATTCTGAGATCGATCGACAATAGCCTTCTTCGATTCTGGACATATCGCAGCCGACCAGACCGATTCCGGCCACAGGACACGTTGGCGACTCTGCCTCTACCATAGCAGATGCCTACAACTTTGCCTCCAACATTATATATGCCGCGGACCCTCTTCCATCGGTACTACAATTTCTCATCATTCACCATTAATCAGAATCAATTCCTTCTGCGTTCTATTTTTCTTACAATCAATTGTGTTCTCACGCAAAACTGCAAACGATTGAGGAACGGACAGACGCAGATGCGGGGTCGGAACCTTCACCTGTTATAGGCAAGCAACGATCAGTGTATCATGTCGACTAAACGACGGACAGGGAAGAGGAGGCAGCGACAACAGACGCTGGCGCTGCTGGTGGTGGTGGCAGTAGCTTCTCTATTCTCCTTCCTTAAAATCAGTTCAATACCCATTTTATGTTCCAGGCACCTAAATCTTCTCCATGGTACCCCAAAAATGCACTTCAGTTATACATATCATAAATATCGAAGGCTTATCATAAATATCGAAGGCTTCTTTTTCTCTGTAGGTATATATATGGTGTAAAAGGTTACTATATGGAGGGTGAAATAAATTCGGTGTATGGCGTAGGAAATTTAGTTTTCCATTCGGAAACTACGGATTTTAATAATGTTTTTAATAAGAAAGAGTATAGAAAGCGTGCTATTCTAAGGTGGAAAGAAAAAAAAATTAAGAAGAGCCAACGTTACAATCCATATTTTGTTTTGGAACCTAAAAATAATAGACGCAAAAGGAAAATTTGTTCTAATACATCAGGTAGAGATTTGTTACAGCTTATTCCTTCGGCTGCTACCTGTTTGCCTGTTGTTATTTGATTTTCTAGATCCTCATTTTAGTGTTAGTGGTTAGGACATCTCCATTCTCTAAGAAGCAACTCAAAACCATGACAACCTAACCAACCTATTCACCAATTTATTGCCATGTTTACATAAAAAATTATATTTAGTTAAATAAGTTACAAACTCAAATAATTGTTCAATATTTAAAAAAAAAAGCCAATTGTAAATTAATTGTCCAATGAACATTATAATTTTATTTAACTTCTATGCAACTCGATTGTCTAGGGTTTCATTTTTTTACTTGTTAATTTTAAAATCAATAAAAAATATAACATGCAGATTATATATAATTGATGTAACATAATTTATTACATAAAATTTATGAATGATTTTGTTTTTGTAGTAATTTCTTATTTTTTTTGTATATATAAAACAAAAAAGAAATTTAATTTACATATAATTTCACTTGAAAGGTTAATTGAGACTTTTACTATGAGATTGAATTTGATAAACTTATTTATCTTTAATAATATTCACAACTGTTATTCTTAAGTTTCATACTTAACATTATTTCTTAAATAATTAAAAACTATATGCATAATAAAATGTACATAAACGTATAAAATGAAATATATTACTGTTAAAAAAACACTACATATTACATTAAAAAAAATAGTAGACCAAACCATCTAAGCGACTCATATTAACCTATTTACAGCACCCATGTGAGATGACAATCGTGAATCCTATCAGGAAAGTATTTTGTTAGTATATTAAAGCAAAACTTAAAATGTACGACCAAACAAAAATACCAAAAAAAAAGAAGAAGAAAAGTCGTAGAGATGCTAAATATTATAAAGCGGGGCTTGAAAATAATTCCAGAAGAACAACGAATAAACCAGTTAGCAAATTGAGATGTCTCAGTATCCGATAAGCAGAACTGATTACCAACCGATGTTTTGTCATTTATAGTAAATTAAAATTATTGGATCAACATCCCTTCACATAATAAACAAACGGACAAGATGGAGTTTAATGGTGACATATGTAACATTTAATGTTCATTTAATGAAATTTAATTATATTTTAGTATACGAATGTGACACATGTCATCATTTAAATGAGTATGATGATTGATAAGAACAAAAAGTAAGAAGATATTTAGTTTATCATATTTTAAAGATGTAACAAATTATCATTCTTCAACGATTTAATATCACAAGCTTACCCTTTCTATAGGGGCAATTTTGATGTGGTGCACGGTGTTGCACCGACAACACCTGCTTTTTTCCCACACAAAAGAATTTTTTTTATTACCTTTTGTGCCACTACGTAAAAAAACAGGCAACTACTAAAAAAATGGCAATTACGTAAAAAAATGTCAGTCTATTGGATCAATTAAGCCTAAATGATTAGTAGCCCAAACATTTAATCCAACTAATATTAGCCCCAATGAAAAAATAGCCCAAATAAAACAATTGTCCAATTGTCCAATTATGTATGAAAACCATTTTTTATGGATTAATTAAGGGTTAGCACGTGTTACCTATAACACCCGTTCTAGGAATGAGTCGTTTTAAATGTTAAGTTCTATTGTGGGTGGCCACGGCGTGATGGAGCCTCACCATAGCGTGACATTATCTTTTGGGTCGCAGGTTTTCATGGACCACCACGACGTGGTCATGAGGTGCCACGGCGTGGCAACTAGTTTTGGTGAAACCCTAATCCTTTGGGCTTTGAGCCCTATTTAAAGGACATTATGGCTAGGGTTTCGAGGTCATTCAGTCTCCATCACCCTTTCAAGCACTAAAACCCTAACCCTAGCCTCCATCACTCTTAGAAGTTCATTCTTCATACTTTGTTGGCCTCTTTGAAGTTCATTCTTAATACTTTGTTGGCCTTTTTGAAGGAGAAGGAATCCTTTGGTGAGGATTATCATCTTGCAAGCAACATATTTATCTTCTAGCTTCTCTTCTGGACTTGGGTGAGTGTTCAAGACTAAATCTTTTCCTTGCTAGGTTGTTAGATCTTGGATTTTGGCCCCTTTTCTTCATGTTTGGAGGGTTTTGGAAGATGAGATCTCATAAAGCTTGCAAATTTATGAATCTCCAGGTCATTTGGAGCATTTAACTCTTTGGATCTGAAGTAGACTTGAGTTTTGAGGCCATGCATGGACTCTTGGCCCTTTCTGCCCTGGTTTTGCCCTAAAAATGGAAAGGACATGCATTGGACATACATGTCCCCAAAGCTATGATTTTTATGGTCCAGAAGGTGTTGTAAACCCTTCTGGAAACTTTAGAGAAGTCATTCTAAGGATTAAGTGCTTAATGAGTGGAATGTGATTTATGCTTCTATTAAGAATTTAGGGGTTTGGATCTTGACTTATTGGCAAGGTTTAAAGGATAAAGTTGGAAACTTTATCCATCTAGGTTATGGTTTAGACCTAGTTTGAGCTTGGAAACTCCTGGAATGGGCTGGAAATCAACTTAAGGAATTAAGTCTTGCTGACTGATCCCTACAGTATGGTGGAGCCTCACCACAACATGGTGGTTGGGCTGAGCGCGCTTGCTTTGTCATATTACGACCACGTCATAACCATGGATGGCCACGACGTGGCGGTCATCTGTAGGTTGACTTTGACCCAAGTTTGACTTAGGGGCGTTTTGGTATTTTGATTAGTAGTTGACCTGAAGTGATTATGATTGTATAGGTGACTGGTAGAGTCAACATTTAGAGCAGTGATTTGTGTAGTGATCTCTTCAGGCCGAGATGTGAGTTTTCCTCACTGTACTCGTGGTTCGAAGGCACTAATGCCGACCCACTAGGTTATGTATCTTGGATATAGGATGGTGTTATGCTAGTATATGTGTAACACCCATAAAAATTGAGTCAAATTAAAACATTTTCATTCATTCAAAAACCATTAACTTCATACATCTCATTTTCAAAATAGTTTATTATCAGAGTATCCCCCAGAACCATATCATAAAAATCGTAAAACATGAGGAGCGGTACGATCACACATTCGCCTTGCCACGATCTCCTGAAGTACCTGAAACATAACACTACAACTGTAAGCCCGAAAGCTTAGTGAGTTACCCCCAAAATACCAACCACACATAACATACTCATATCATATCACAAATAGAACAGCCACGCACATCGGGTCTACTGTGTGACTGGTCCGCCCGCACCGGGCCTTCAGTCCACCTGGTCCACCCTCCGAGTCTAGCCATGTACGTCGAGTCTACAGTGTGATTGGTCCGCCCGCACCGGGCCTTCAATCCACCTGGTCCACTCTCTGAGTCTGCAGTATGACTGGTCCGCCCGCGTCGGGCCTTTAGTCGGCCTGGTCCACTCTCCGAGCCTCGGCACGTCTGGTCCGCCCTCTTGGGGCCTTCAGCCTATCCGGACCGCTCGCTGGGCCTTCGGAATATCCGGTCCGCCCTGGGTATGTTGGCCTACAGCACTAAGCAGGACCCGCCTCAACCCAACCCCCGTCATACAACCATGTGCACATAAAACAATCAATCACATAACAAATCTCTAACCAGACAAGCAGTCTAACAGATCACATAGAATATCAATATCCTAACCATGATTCCGACCAAACCGGTCACTAGCATAACATTACCCTATATCCTGGGTACCGACCTTAACCAGGTCTCTAACGCATACCATCCTAACTACCAGGATGCAAACATTAGCAAAGCAATAACATAACAACAACTACCCAGATTCCCATCCGATAAAGGGCCGGCCTTGGTGCCGTAGACCCTGTCGATAAAGTGAGGATAACTCACCTTGTGGCTGCCGAAATCCTGCAAATCTCTGACTGCTGACCCACCGAGAATCCCAAC